TGATTGGTTTTTGCTTAGAGCGTGAAGCTTTGAGTTGTGTATTGTGTGTGTTAGAGATTAGAGTTTATCTGAGCTGTGCTTGGGACGATTTGGAGAGTTTTGAGAGAGTGTTTCGACGTATTGTATTGAGCTGCAGTACCCTTTGCCTTGAGGCCCAGCAACACCAGTTGCCACCTACTGTTTTGATAAAACAAAAAGCTTTGAGACTTAGAGAAACCTCGGACTGTTGTAAGCGCGCTATTACTGTTCACGCACTGTGATCTCATTGAAGAAAACAATTACATTTGTTGAATACTACTTTATCGCATTATAATCCCCCCACGAACTAAGAGTTTTGTGTGTGTGTTGGTGTGAGTGTGGTCAGCGGATAACGCTCTGCTGTATCCGTTTTCACCTTGTGCGCACTCAGGTACTCTTCAGCGGTTTGTCGAGACGCGTTGTAGTAGACGGTTTAGGTCTGAGAATCCACGTGGGGCCCTGAAATTATATAGGCCAGCGAAAAGCGGTGCGACTCGATCAGAGCAACAACAAACTCAAACGCAATGCCTTGAAGGAGGGAGAATTTTGTGTGTATGCAAAATATTGACTCTCATTTTTAATCGCCCTTCATTTCCACCCGAAAAATTCTTGTGACAAGCACTAAGACAGACTACAGAACTGCGAACAAGGTTCAGCAAAGGGACAGATCTCCGTTTTTCAGTGGCTGAAAACCGGAAACCGAAAGCTCAGTATAGCCGCCAAAACAAGTTGGACGAAGATGGAAAACTGTGACAGTTGTTGGCCGAATGCAAATTGAAGACCCCGCAGCGGACTGAGCTTCCGAATGACCCTGGAAATAGTAGAGATGGCCGCAATGACAACACCGATATGAAATATAAATGATGATAGTCCATGAAGCATAACTAGGGTCAGATGTTTAGTGACTGACGATCGAGGAAGTAAATTCGACTGGCGCTTCGAAAACAGATTGGTCAATTTACGTGGCGGCCGTGGAAATTAAATGTTCGGAAGCGCGGAAAAGTGAAATTGACGTCATGGGGCAATCAACGGGATCAACGGAATCAATTGCGTTGTCAAGGGCTGGAAAAACTCTAGATTTCCATTTTACCTCCCATTCGCCTTTTTTTTTTCCATGCAGGATCTTGGAGACTACGACGACGATGTTCCTCCAGCGGCGACACACAGCTGCGACAACAGGAGGCCGGCTGATGAAGAGGATGTCGACTATGTTCAAGCCGTCGCAGAGGGTAGTCGTGGGAAGGCGTGGAAGAGTTGGTATCAGAAGAAGAGGAGAAGAGCAAAGCGTCAGTGTCATCGAGTCAGTCATCGATGTACGACATTCGTAGGCCATCCGGACTCGGCCCGTCGATCGAGGAGCACGCAAGCATCGTACATCCCTATCGAGTTCAGGTCCCGTCTCTTCCTACCTATCGCCCGACGTCGCCTTTGCCGGTGGAAATCCTGACGGCGATCCTCTCGCACCTGCCACGGTTGTTGGTCCCTGCACTCGCTCTGCTCCCTCGCGATTTTCTCTGTGCGGCGCAGACCATTTTGTACAGCGACCTCGATATGAGGAACAGCCGGCACGGCGACGCGCTGTGGGTCTTCCTTGTCACACGACGGGACCTCACATCTCTCACGCATACCCTCCGTGTCCCTGCATGGCCCTCTCCGCAGGCACGGATGTATCTCATACCCCGCGTACTCGCTCGGATGGATAACCTCCGCTCACTCACCCTCCCTTCCTTCGACATCCACGTCGTGCGCCATCACTCTGCGTTTGGTCTCCGTCACGTCGAATTTGGCGACACACGTCTCTCCGGGCAGGCCGAAGCTGAATTACTCACGTGGCTGGATGGACAGACGAACATTGTCTCCTTGCATTTTCCGTCGCTCCTCGATGACGGCGACGACTCGTCTCCGTCTACACCACTTCCCGCCACCCCGACGCGTTCCCGTCTTCTCTCAGCCCCCACCACACCCGGCCGCCTCTCTCTCTTTCCCATGCCTCCACTGTCGCCGCTCCCGCCCACTCCTACGCCGACTCAGGAGTCGTTCACGCACACAGCCGCGACTCTCCTCCCTAACCTTACCGCACTCCATGGTCCGCCACACCTAATCATCCTCCTCGCGCCCTCTCGTCCTCTCATCGACGTGTCTATCACCATCTCTATGCCAATATATGCGGGTTTCCGTCCTACGACCACGCTCGAATCCCTCCCTCCATCTGTTCGTCGCCTGAAGTTCGTGTTCAAATCCGTGGGTAAACGCACGGAGGAAAAGACACTCCATAGCGCCGCCGTCGTATGCCCCCACATCGAAGAACTCGAAATCGAGGGAGAGGCCAGCGAGGATCGCTGGTGCAGCGTCGTCCCTCAATTCAAATCTCTCCGTGTCCTCATCATGCAGAAACCAGGGACAAAGACAGAAAAACAGCAATCGCTCGACGGGAGGTTCCCCCTCCCGAAACGAGCCAGGATGCGCTCGACGTCATCCTGTATCATCAGTCAGTCGGGTCACTCGATGGTGCTCAGTGAGAAAGCCCGCGCAGCCCGTCTAGCGACCGCGTGCCCCGCTCTCGTGCGCGTCGTGTTTCCCAATGGCGTAGAGTGGCGCCGGCCTCCTCCCCCCCCTCCCTCCCGTTCCCAGATCGCGGTCCTCTCCGCATCTTCTCCTGATGGATGACGATCTCTTTGTGAAAAAGAGAGGACAGGATGGTCCTCGGAGGAAGCTGGTTCCGTTGAAGGAGCAGAGGTTTGTTAGGGCAGAACCGGTCGAACAGGCTTCTGTCCTCACTGACAGCGATGACGATGACGTATTCTTCAGCCCGAAGAAGCCTCTCTCGAATGATAAGGTCGATGTCGACGTCGCTGGTGTAGGGAAGGTGGCTATGGCGCTGGTGTGAAGGTGTGGTTCCTTTTTGTTTCTCCCTTCCACATCTCAGCGCAATATTCTCTAGCGTGCACTCGTTTCTTCATGTCCGTATTTATCGGTATCTATTTTCCGATGCCCTACCCTACGCATTTCTTCTGTACATCTATGGATTTATATATCCAATTGCCATTCGTCTCTTCGAAATCGGTTGTGGTGCTTTGAGCGTTCTCCTCGGTGTCAACGACAAACTTATAATGGAGAGAAGCGCTAATCTTTGGGTAAGATATCCAATATGGACCCCGTTCTCGTCGCTGAAGGAAAGACTTCCAGTCTCTCTTTCTTTCTTCATTCCACTCTCGTCGTCTTCGTACACCTCCTCAACTCCTACTTCTGACTAACCCCTGCTCTCTACCGCGGGATGTCTAGAACGCAAACTTCTCGCGGGTCCCCGTCGTTTTTGAACACCTTCCAGACTTAGATCCTGCCACACCGGGTCTGAGAACTATGCGTATAACGAAACTGAAAGACCTTCAGGTAACAGTGCTTCGCAAGCATATCGTGTCGTTTCTTCGTGATATCTCTGCCTATGATTCAATAGCTGGCGATGAAGAATGGACAAGTCGCTCGCGTTCTTATCTTCGACCATCTACCTCCATGGAATGTCCCTTGAACCCATGGTGTGATTCCTTCCCGGAGCATGCCGACGTCGACAATACCCTTCTACGTTACCGTGTTCAGCCACGCTATACTTCTGGTACGGATTATCTTTTTCTCACACTCCTACCCTTCTCATTAACTATGCCATACACCAAAAATAGCTCTCCGTCGCATTACCGAAATTAATAAACGCGGAACTTTTCCATCGAGACATACGCTCGCAGAGCGCGCATCTTCGTTACACCTGCCCGAAGCACGTTCTGTTCATGGATTTTTTCCTACTCCACAAAATTGCCACATCACCAACTTGTTCGACGGCCACACAAACTTTGGCGCAAGTCGGCTGTTGGGGAAACCCTTTCGGACTCCGCTACAAAAACATCTTCCTTCAAAATCGGGACTCCTGCAGTCTGTGAACCCGACAGCACGAATATCGTTTTTAAAATGAACGCTCCATCAGTCGTACAGGAACGTATAGAAGAAGATTTCTTCTCGAGTTTGACCCTAATAATTATTCCGAGACGCAGAAATACTGCGACGCGCTCGCGCATTACTGCCGACAAGCTTTCTTGAACCCTGGTTTGACTTTCGAAATCACCATAACACCTCGAAACCATTCCTCCAGCTCTCTGTTCTGTTCCTTTCCTCTCTTCGCTCTGTAAGAAGGCGATTTCCAGCCCGTGCTGACAACTGGTATCTAGAAAGAACGAGACCGGTTTTCCCAGGTCTGGATGGCGGATGTGAAGAGAGGTGACACGTCCTATGGTTGTATTCTGCTTAAATGCTTTTAGGCATCTTGGTTGCTGCACCCGGAACCGTCGTGGGTTGATCCCACCTGTGAATACGAATGTCCGAGATATCTTGCTGGAGTCGAGAATCTGGTGTACAACGTGCTCGAGGATGTTCAGGGCTCAGCTATTTCGTAGTATTATGCGAAACATAAGGTATGCCTCTGCTTTGTAGGTTTAGGACTGCTGATTTACTGTGCATAGTTCGCAATGCTTCATAGAGTCTACCCGTGTGATTCTCATGGGGTATATCGAAGGAACAACTCTCGCTCGGCTACAAGACAAGTGTCCCAGCCACGATACCCCTCGATATAATCCCTTACCTCACAAATCCTATAGTGAATGGCTCGATATAGCGAAAGAGCCCGTAAGTGCTCCTCCATCATTTTGACGATTTTTCTCACCGATGATTCCTGAGTACATTGCAGCGCCAAGAGGCATGTCTGCAATTTCCGGGCGTAAAGTAATACACTGCGACCTCAAGCCGGAGAAATATGATGATCACATCTACGACATCCCCGAAGCAAGTCGTGTACATCGACTTTGCGTTTGGAGAGCCGAATGCGCGTCAAGACCTTATCGATGCTCATGAGAACTGCCGTCGCTCCGTGACAAGCTGCTGTAGTCAGCATAGGGAAGATTTTGAGAACGGAGCGACGAAGAATTCTACGGAAGACTTGACTCATCCTGGTTGAGGTCGTTGCACCCAGGTTTGTTTCCCGTTACATTTCTATATTACAGACTGGGGCAATCTTTATTTCGGTTGACCTACGTCTCTCGATCGTAACTCTAATGACATTTTTCTGCATTACCTTTCACTATCTCTTCCATTCTGTGTTGTGGACGACTATCGAGGTATCGGGGTTATTTCCGCTTCGTCAGTATAACAAACCTTCCGCACACTGATGTCCATTTGATTATCGACCAGCGTGGCAGAAAAAATTATAAAATTCAACTTGAAAAGCACTCGATGTTCAGTTAGCCTATGGACTCCCCCCGCTGCATTCCTACCAATTCAAATCAGGATAAACCTCAGCTTTGATCAGTCGTTGCACAGCGATGGGAAACTGAACTAGGCGGGCAGTCTTCCTCAGTGTCTCTCTTCTGACACAGGCAGTTCCACACGCCGGTGTATGAATGCCATTGTCCATGACCACTCCTAGATCGATGACCTCGAAGCGTAGATTCGCATGGTGACTCTGTACCCAGGCTTGAGAACAGTTATCATACAAGCGAAACACCGAGGTGGAATGAAATGACAACAGAAGGCACAGGATGATTGGAATTCACACGGAATCGAGCTGCTCACAAGTCGCTAGCGAGAAAGCAAGCAGAACGAATGGAGAAGGGAAATTTTGATCTCCGTTTCAATGAACATTGAAAACATTATTTAAGGGCTGCTTCTCGCCAAGAATACACTCACTCTGCATCCCGCAACTGAAAATGTCCCTGTTCACTCGCTCTGGCGCGGCATCTCTGCATACGAATTTGATTATGTGATATGTTCTGTCACTGCCACGGTACACTATATGAGGCCCCGATTCAGTGCTTGTTAATTTTTCGGGTGGGAATGAAAGGCAATTAAAAATGGGAGTCAAGATTTTGCAAACACACCAAATTCTCCTTCAAGGCATTGCATTTGAGTTTGTTGTTGCTCTGATCAAGTTGCACTGCTTTTCATTGGCCTATATAAATTCAGAATTCCATGTGGATTCTGAAATCTAAATAGTCTATTCTCTTGTGGATGTCTTTGTGAAGTGTTTCTGCTTAGAGTATGAAGCTTTAAGTCATGTATTGTGTGTTTTTAGGATTTTTGAGTTTGGTCTGAACAGTGCTTGGGACTTTGATGGTTTTGTGGGAGTATTTCAAAGTATTATGTTGTCTTACAGTACCCTTGCATTGAGACCCAGTAACATCTATCACCTCTCTTATTACACAGAAGCTTTAGACTTAGAGAGATCCTGATTGTATGCATACACAATTACTATTTCTGTGCAGTGGTTTGTTGAAGATAGAATTGTATTAGCTATTACTACTTCTATCACATTATAATCCTCCAATAAACTTAGAGTGTTGTGTGTGTGTGTGTTACTATGAGTGTGATCAGTGTATAGTTCTACAGTGTGTCAGTTTCTAGCTTGTGCATGCAACCACCTCTTCAACACTTGTTTTTATGCAGATCTAGATCAGTAGGAAAGTCTTCTACCATGCTCTGACACTTTGCAAGCCATCTGAACAAGGATATAGTGGACTAAACATTTTCAGCACTGGTGTCTAAGATCATATTTCAGCTCATTGCTGAATCAGATATCAGTTGATATGACATGTAGCAATGCCAAAGGACCTTTGAGAGGTATGAAGTGCATGCAAACAAGCTGGTCTCCACAATGATGCTTAATGATTATCACACTACAGAAATTTCCTTCAAGTGGTAACCCATCTTGAAACATGTGTGTTGGCATCAACAAGACCACCTCAACTTTGCTCCACATTCAGTGCCATCTTCATCAAGAATAACTGTAAGATGTCAAATTTTCCAGTTTCTTCTCCTGACTCCAGCTTACTGTACTTGACACAGTTGCATGGTCTGTGACAACATTTTCTCTATTTCATTCTTTCTCACCATTTCCATCCCTGGGTCTGAATTTTGGTGATCATTTATAATGGAACTTGAGTGTCTGATTAATATGCTGTCATAAAAAATATCCTTGAGGAAAAGCAAAGACTTACTTCATTTTCTTGCCTAGGCTTGACAGATGGTGCTTATTCATGCAGCACCCCACATATGCACTCTTCATACATGTTCACACAAGGTATCATCATGCTTTTCTTCTGGACATGGCTGAAGCTTGATACCACTCTTCTGACTATGGATCCATGGGAAAGGCTTGCTATGTTCCAAAAATTTTAGGAATGCCTCTGACTTTCAGGCTTATTACTTGATTACTGGTGAAGAGGTCCTGTGTATGCATAAGGTGAAAATGGATACAGCAGAGTTCTATCCATTGATCACACCTATACCAACACACACACAATACTCTTAGTTCTGTTAAGCCCAAGCGACACGTGATCTGACAACACGTGATAGACGACGTGTCCCTTCGCACTTCGAGGGATCACGCGAATCCACTTATGATGTTGTTCTTGTTCGGTGTGTCACAAGGCCACGTAGTGGCTCGAGAGTAGAATGGTGTGAATATAAACTTTAGCTCGAAGCTGGGATATACCAGCGAGAGCGATCGGTCTTAAATACTGTACAGGTAGTGCTAATATTACGACTACTTATTGTGTCGTCCTGTGTCCATGGTGCCCATTGTCCTTGAGCATCGTTGTCGTACATAAAAGGGTAATTGTGCGTCGTCGAGCGTCGTTGTATCTAGGCGGCGTAGTTGTGCTTACTAAGCCCTTCCCATGGTCTCGTGCTATGACTAAGCATAAATAGGGGTAAAAAGGGAAAAGAAATGGAAAAATCGTAACATTACCCCCTCGTTAAGACCATTGTCCTGATGGTTTAATTAAGGGAGAGTTCGTAATCGTGTATGGCTGTGTCGGCGTTCATGTATTTTTTGTTGATCCATTGGTTGGATTCCGGGCCATAACCTTTCCAACTCACGAGGTAATCGACCGTTGTTGTCATGCCTCCCCCACGGGCTTTCACTTTTCAGAGTTTGTGGTTTAATACCTGCTCAATTTCGTAGTGTTCTTCGTCATCAATCAAGTCTGGGGGAGGCAGTGGCGGTCGTCCCTGGTTCGGAAAGGCAGGCGCAACATATGGTGTCAATAGGGATTCATTGAATACGTTGTGAATTTTCCATGTCGCCGGTAAGCGCAGTTTATAGGCTGATTCTCCGATTTTTGCAACGATCGGGAAAGGTCCTGTACGCTTGTCGGAAAGTTTGCGTTTCGGCCGTGGTAGGTGGAGGTTCGTCGTATCAAGCCAGACTTTGTCGTGGACGTGATATTCATGTGCGGGACATCGATGTTTATCGTAGTGTAGTTTCATGGCCGAGGCGGCTTTCTCCAGTGCCTTCTTTGTTTCCGTATGTATTTTTTCCATCGTCGTGGCAAAGTCGGTGGAAGCTGGAGTCGTTGTTTTATGGAGACTCGTTTGCGTCAGATGTGGGTGTCTGCCGTGGTTCACAAAGAAGGGGGTCTGGCCCGTGGCGGAGTGTACTCTGTTATTGTGCTGGAAAGCCGCGAGTGCTAACCACTCGACCCAATCGTCTTGCCTGTAGTTGATAAATAGCCGAAGGTATTTTTCAACTTCCTGGTTTGCGCATTCGGTCTGTCCATCTGTTTGTGGATGGTATGCTGTTGATGCATTGGGCGTTATGTTCAACAGTTTGTATAGGTCGGTGAGAAATTTGGAGACAAATTGTGGTCCGCGGTCTGAGATGACCACTTGCGGCATCCCGTGTTTTGCGTATACTTCGTCCCGTAGAATCTTCGCCCATCCTTCCGAACTCAATTCTGTCAAACATGCGATCAGAATGATCGCCTTGGAGAATCGGTCGACTATGACGATGATTGCATCATAGCCGTTGCAGTCTGGTAAGCCGGTAATCATGTCCACTGATATATGAGTCCATGGCTGTGCCGGTATCTCATTGGGGTGTAGTGGCGCTGCTCGTGGTTGTGTGGACGCTTTCCCCCTCTGGCAGGTTTCGCAGCCTTTGACGTAGGCCGTGACGTCGTTGATGAGTTTAGGCCACCAATAATCTCGTAGAACGAGTTCCTTTGTCTTGGCAATGCCTGGATGTCCTGCCATGGCATGGTCGTGGTATATGGCGATGATGTCGCCACGGAGACTTTTGACACGTGGAATGTAGATCCTTCCATCGTAGTGGATCATCCCCTCCTTCTTTGTTAGTCCCCGCTCATGGTTCAGCGAGGCAGCGATCCTTTGATCCCACTGATGTGGATCTCGAGTTGCGCTTTTGATTTGTTCGTGTATCTCCTCCTCTGTGGGCATTATCATTGCTCGAAAGTGCTCAGGGCGGAGGATGACAACTCCCTCATTGTCATTTCCCCCCTGATCGTGGTCTGCATGGCGAGAGAGGAGGTCGGCTTTTTTGTTGGCGACTCCGGCTTTATGATGGAGTGTATACTCGTATTGGGCGAGTTCGGTGACCCACCGGGCTTGTCGGCGGTTCAATTTTTGAGGTTGTCGGAAGTATCTGAGATTCTGGTGATCGGTCCAGATTTCAAAGATTTCGGCTGCTCCGATCAGGTAATGATGCCACTCTTCAAGGGCGAGCATTATCACGAGTAATTCCTTGTCGTAAATCTCGTAGTTCCTTTCCGTCACTGTCAATGCCTTTGAGAGGAAAGCGACGGGTCGCCATTTCTTGTCCTGTTCTTGGGACAAGATGGCACCTATGGCCCCCTCGCTTGAGTCGGCTTCGACGCGGAATCTGCCCTCTTGGGACGGTATG